TTGTGGGAATTTTCAATTGTTTTCTAATTGGAGAATGTTACTGTTAATGATCCTTTAATAGCTGATTGAAAAGGAACAAGAGAGTAATTATTTTGAAAATTGTTGCAAAATTCACTGTTTGAATTACACATCCATTCGTAAAACATAAAACCGTTCGCGTCTCTTTTTAACGCACTAATTTTTTCAATTATTCAATCGTTTTGAAATACTTTTTCATGTTATCTTTTCAACCATTGCTCAACTTCCAAACAAATAAAACCAGTATAGATAAATATAATCTCGTTTTGCGTTAAAAAGGAAGAAAAATTCTTGAATGAGTGCTCGGAAAAAAATGATTCAATTATGATTTAATTACAAACATCACGCAGAGCCTTTCAAAATCAAATTGAAAACTAGTACAACTACAGTACAAGTGAAGTGTACTCAGCTCAAGATAGGCAAGATTAGCATTAATTCGATAAAATAATTATATTTCTTTTTTAGCAGCATTGTTCTTGTTTTCAGACGATATCCTTCAGAAATAGATATAGAATAGAACCTATGGTGTCATCAAAGAAAAAATAATACTAGTGACATCCACCCATAAATAGTTTATTATTTATAAATTAAAATGTCATTACATTTACGACCAAAACAAATACCACAGATTTTCAGTTTGCATTAAATCCCCACAACAGTTATCACTGTCACAAATTAATTAATTACGTTAATGTATTAATTAATCATTAGTTAATATCATCATCGTTATCTGTTGATCGTGATATAAAATTAATTATAAATTTAAACGCAAGAATGTAAAAAACGCAAGATTTACTGAAATTATTTTTACAAAAAAGTGCAGTAAAATGATTCAAAACGTGCATAAAAATCAAGAAATGTGTAAAAACGCCAAAAAATCGAGCAAAATATGTTATAAAGATTAACAACTCCCATTTAACATAGCAAAAATTTTATTTATCTAATAAAATGAATTACAGTCTTAAACATTGTTTAAGATTGATTGTTTATTTTATGTGCTTGGGTTAGTCGGCCTTGGGATTATCAATTTTCTATTTTATAAAGTCAAGGAGAAGAGGCCCAAGGAATAAATTGAATGTCGTGTTTAGAACATTTTCTTGTGACGTTCGGACGTCTGACACTCTTCATCAGCCTGTTTCAGAAAGAAATCATTAAAATATCATTTAGCAGCCATACACAGTAGTGGAATTATTGGCTTTTTAGTATCATATGCGTTACGTTAACGATTTTAAACCCAATACGTACAATATATAATTACATTTGACAAATATACAATAGCTTTTAAAAAATTAACGTTGCGAAATTTAATATTTCTTTTTACTTAATTTCTTTGTATCTGCAACTGAACATGAATTATATACAACCAGCAGATTGGGTAATTTGTGTTTGCGGCATTACGGGCGTTACAGAGAAAGCTACCCTTGGCAGCCGCTCTGGATTAATGAGATGACATTAATCATTTAAGAGGACTCTTATCCATATTCTTTTCAGACGTTTACCTGGTAATTATGGGGAAAGGAATTACCGTATTTGTGTGTTAGTGTGATTTTGTAATTTACTATGAAAACGTCTGTAATTTGTTTTGATGGATGAAAAAACTGTTGGCATTTGAAGAGCTCTGTGAAGTGTGCTATTGTTTACGTAAAAATGGACAGAAACAATTAGTCTTAAAATTTTTGGATTGAAAACTTTGTAATCTTTGAATATTGGAATACTTGGCCGATCCGTATACTTGGCACCCGTACATCAAAGTAGGTTTGAGTAGGTATGTGTATGTCGAAAGTTTTGATTTTAATGGAAATTTTGATTGCCGGTTGAGTAGGTAATAAAGCATTTTAAATCGTTTGTTCAGTGTCTGTGTTTTAAATCGTGTGTGTGGATTCCAAGTTAGTCTTCTATCAAATGTAAGTCCTAAATAGTTAACTTTGTCGGATTGAGGAACTGGTTAATTGTATAAGTATATGTTAGGACAGTCTCACGACGGAGTGTAAAGGTGGTACGTTATGACTTTGAGGAATTAAACTTTATTTTCCAAATATTGCTCCATATTTCAATTGTTGATATGTGGTTTTGTAGCATGAGTGAAGCTGGTGTATAAGAGAGATGATTTGCTAATGTGGCGGTAAGAGCATTCTCATTTGTGGGCATATCAGAAGTAAAAATTGTGTACATTCGCAAGTTGAAAACATGGATGAAGCCCGTTATAAAAAAAAATTTTACACTCAATTCGTTAACGAAATACTGTAATCACTTAAAAATTGTATATTTTCACTTGGTTTTTATGCATAAAAAATAGTGAATATTAAAAAATTAGGTGTTTCATAGTGACTCGTTGTTTCAAAATTTGTTGAAGTGAGGAGCGTTCAAGAAAGATGTAGTTTAGAAAAACACCTTTTTTATTTTTTGCCGCCTTTCGACCTTTATTCGGGTCATCTTCAGGGCCCTGGGTAAATTTCAAAACATTTGTTGATTGGAAAAAATACAATTTAAGATGTAAATTAATTAATCATATTGGTTTTGTGGGAAAGGTTTGTGGGATGTGATTTTGTATTCTGCATAATTTCATATTCAAACAGCAGAATACAAATTCACGTACATATATATTTCCCCAGGCCCTGAAGATGACCCGAATAAAGGTCGTAACGTCGGCAAAAAAAATGAAAAAGGTGTTTTTCTAAACTACACCATCCTTGAACGCTCCTCACAATTATTTTAAAAAAATAGAGGAAAAATGCAATTTTGTGCAGTGAACCGTAAAAACGTGCAATTTCGTGAAAAATAACATTATTGTAAAAAGGATATAATTTCCATTAAAAAGAACTAGGGAGAAGGTAGATTTCTGTTCGTTGATTTTTGAGGTTGTCTTACATGAAACGTGTGGCCTTGTGTTGTATCTCTGGAGGAAAATATGTCGCGGTTTACCAACTTTGGCATTTTTAGTCATAGCACCATGCACCGTGTCAAGGTGGGCCAACAGGGTTCAGAATTGAATCGACCATCAAGATCCAATATATAGTCCACCAGGCACACGAATTAGCCTTTTTCCTTAGATTTTCTTGCCGGAGCTTGTAGAAACTTGTACGAAGAAACAATGCCAGGATAACTGTAGTCTAATTTATAGAAGGCACTTTGATGCAGTCAGATCAGCTTGTTTTTCTATTTTCAGCGCATTATACAGATGCCATTGATGTTATCACGGTTTACAGACCTGTTGAAAAGTTCAAATTTTCCTGGAAATTTACTTTACGATTACCGCACCCAGTTTTCATTGTGAACACATTCCTTTTTATCTGAGAACGGGGTACGTATACATAAGAAAACGAACAGTTTTAAGACATTTTACGCATTTATTTGAATGACTAAGCAAACACACTGTACAACCTGCGGGCTTAAACTAAGACTGACTGTGCAAGCTCTCCCTATCTACAATCAAATCTATCTATGTAATAAACAATACTATTAAAATACAAATAATAAATTGTATCGATTTTTTATCTATCGTTTGAAGTGGGGTTTTCACGTCCTGCTGAGGCATTGTTCATAAGGTGCTTTTTGAATCTCTTGGGAATCAATGCAATCAGAGAGAAAATGTCACCATCAATACGCTTCTAATATTTGAAGATCAACAATGTTACTACTTTCAAACCTAAAAATGTTAAACATTATTTGAAAAATATTTTTTTAAGCCATTTAGACTAGAGTCCTTATTATCGCATTCATCGCTATGGCGAAAAAAGTTTTAAAAAGTTTTTATTTATTTGATAACTTTATGCGCATAATTGCAGTCGCACTTGCGATTGAGTGAATAAGTCGACAATATAATGAAATGTAATATATAATAATAAAAAGTAAAATAAATAAAAATACATTGATTTTATGAAATTTCAAAGATCCTTTAACGTGCTTAAACTCATTTGATAATGAAATGCCAATTATTAATTTAATCCATCGCAGAATGGACTAAAATAAAACAAAAGGAGAAGTGAATTAACTCTAGCGGTGTCGGACACAGTAAAACCCTCAACAAGACTGGCAAGCCCACTGCGTGGTGGTCAAATCCATTGATCACTGGCATCTGAGAAAACATCTACACAACATGGGCATATTCAACGATGATCCCATCTGCAGATTATGTAATGAGGAGGAGGAAACAGCCTCCCATATCATCTTAGAATGCGAAGCAAGAGCTCAATGGAGATTTAACATAACATACAGAGAAAAACCTAGTGAATGAAATTATAGCAGCGACAGTGAATGACCTGATATTTCTGAGAAGTATGATATGGAGTCTATTGTACTAAACTAGAGAACTAGGAAGGTACAATAAGCCAGAAGGCTGCAGGGCCTGGGAGCACAAACCCCACTTCCTAGTATCCTCATTACCATTACCAATACAATAAAAGAGTGGAAAGGCAATTAAACTAAAAAAAAGACTAAGTACGTGAATATTGAAATGTAAAATTATGGAGTTCTTTCTTTTTTTAGATAAAAAAAAATTTTTAATTTCCACAATGCATATACATGCATGGATATTGAAGAGTATGTATGTAATTTAAGGATATAGGGGAAGAACAACCAACTCATGAGTTGATGAGTAAAAATTAAAATTAATAGATTATCATGAGATCTGGATATTTTCTTAAGGAATTTCAATTATTATTGAATGCTATGTGCACATGCTTAAACTCATTTGATAATTAAATGTCAATTGTTAATTTAGATGGTATTTTTTATTAATCCATTTGTTTAGTGGTCTAATGACCAAATTATTTATTTTATTTAATCATTCTTTTTATGTAAGGTCTTGGTTCAGGTGAAAAAGGTGTGGTGTCAGGAGCGGGGTTCGAACCCTTATACGCCGCTATTCGAACTACTCGAGTTATAGCGTCCCGAAAGTCATGGGTTCGAACCCCGTTCGTGACACAACCTTTTTCATCTCAACCTTACATTTTAAAAAAAATTCATTTATTTTTTATTTTCAGATTAAAAGACAATGGCTTCCTCGAAGACATTAGCAATGAAGGTTGTGGAACTGGTGAGTCAATTTTTTTGTTAATATTTTTTTTAATAAGCAATCACAATATTCATGTCCAGGATGGTTAATTTTCCCATCGAAATACTAAAAAAGTCAATATTATTTGCAACAAAACATGTTAATCTAAGAATTTTAATTTTCATTGGATTTGCTATAATAAGCGTCAAACTGCATTAGCGGTTGTATGTTACGGTTGTCATAGATTATTAAATTCTTTGTGTTTAAGGAATCAAGAAAAAACAATTGGAATTCTTATAATTAGCAAACAAAATACATGTAAATTATAAATACGACAAAACAAATTATACTAAAATAAATTACAATAAAATACACACACACACACACACACACACATACGATACCGTACCATATGCTTATATACAGGAACAATGAAATTGTCATTCTCATTATCAACCCATTACGAGGAGTTAGGACACAATGATCTACGATTCGCGAAAAAATTTTTGTATTTGTATTGTTTTGCATTTTGTCCAAGAATCATTACAAAACATTTGAAATGAGTCAGTCGGTAATCTGTAATTGTTATGCACAGTTGAACATGTTTAAAATTCCACACCCTCTCCTGAAGTAGACGTGCTCGTGATTATTTATAAACAACACTTAACGGTTAACTTATTTTTACTACTGCATTGCATAGTAACCTTCAAAAAANAAAAAAAAAACCTTGAATTCAGGGTGGCTATATTAGTATATGTATGGTATGTCTAAAGTACGACATAAATCGGTATCGAAACTCGACTTTCCAGACTCAGCTCTTGTGGCAGCTTGCGTCACAAAGGTTTGTTGAAACATAGACTTCCTACCTTTGTATTTCTTGTGTTTTGCTGTCCTTATGTACTGTGTACCAAAAAAACGTGTATCTGTTGATACGTCACAACAAACGCAGTATAAAACGTCTGCATAGCCCTTAAAAGTCTCACTTGAAAACTCACGCACTATTGAACAAGATCTTTCATCTTTGCGGGGACTTTCGGCATTTTTAGGAGTAGTCAGTTCCAACACACAAATAACGTTTCACGATGGTAATCGTATGAGAGACTGGGTAAAACTGAGAAATATAATGTTAGGGAAAGAAGAGAACTGAGGTCGTAGTATTTCTATGAATCCAATTAAACTATTCCAAGATAAAATTTACAGTGGTACAAACACTATTCCGGAACGGAAGAATGAGAGCCCGCAGCTCTTTTTAGGAAAATTTTTCTTTTTTACCTGCTCAGAAACATTAAAATTTGACGTGCCAAATACCGATATGCCGGATATGTAAAACAAATATGCAATTATAACCCACTTATGAAAAAAATGCATTTATGGCAATGTATGCACAAATATGCAAAATAAATATAGTTTAAATTGATTCCAAATGCTTCAAAACATATACAGTTTGTTAAAACTGGATGTTTTAGTTAACCAGGAAAAATTGCAAATTCATACATTTCACAGCCCTGCTTATTATACTAAAGATACTAAATTGTAATACTGTTTTTACTGTTAACAGGCACTGGCTGTCATCATTTACTGGCTGCACTATGAAACGTACGAAGCAGAGCAGCTCCTCCATCAGTTCATCATAATGACTGCCTTCGCGGGTTTTCTCATCGTCGTTATCGGAAGTTTAATTGCATATCTCACAGGGGGCAGCAATGCGAAACATTCGGTAATTTTATATTTGAACAATTATTGTACAAACAGGAAGTCCTCCGTTTAAACCATTGTCATTATTCGGGCTATTGGCACGACAGAAATCCGGGACATCCTGCGTCAAATTAGATAGACGAACGGAAGCAACTGTCTTCGGCTATTACATGTATTGAATTTATTAATTTGCTGAAGATTTTGTAATTTTTAATTTAACATAAACGTAAATAACATTAAACATTTTTTTCAAATAAACTTCCGTTTTTAACAAAACTGTAACAATAGATCCAAATCAACGTTCATCATTTATTCTATCATGTTTCACCAATTTGTATTGTTTAAAAATGTTAATGACGCCTCCTTCCAAATCACTTACTGATTGCTATCAATCGTTTTGTTTGTTTTTTAATTAACATTTTAATATGCGTGGTGTTTAGTGACCGTTAGTTAATTAATGATTATTTGGAGATCATGAGATGCGGTCTGGTGTGACGTAGGTTTAGAAAAATATTTTCTTTGTCGTGCCAACGTTTCGATCTTTATTGAGAGCATCTTCAGCTCCATAAATCCCAGGCCGTGAAGATGATCTCAATAAAGCTCGAAACGTTGGCACGATAAAGAAAATGTTTTTCTAAGCCTACGTCGCATCTCACGATCTCCAGATAATTTTAATACAATGCACACTCAAACGTTCAGTTGTTTTGCAGAAAATGTGCCTAGCAAGACTCCTTAAAAGAAGATTACTCCTTATGTGCTTCCTGCCAGCCAATTTTCGCCCAAACTATTTATACATTAACCTACAATTGGTCGAAAATCCTGTCAAATTTCAACAAATGTTTGGATGTACTGGCGGTACTTCAAAATATATGTGTACAATTCGTCACCTATTTCATTGAGTAATTTCCAAAAAAGGATAACAAAAATTATCGTTTCTTTTAATCTATCTTTGAATCTCTGATCATATCGATCTGTTTACTATTAGAGTAAATTATAATAACTTTCTGCATATTTTTATTATTTCAAAAATGTTTAGACGGAAAAATTGAAAATGTTAAAACATTTGTCAATTTTATTATTTTTGTGTGGTGTTTACTGACAGTTTGCCAATGATTATTTGGAGATGGTGAGGTGCGGTCTGGTATTAGGTTTTAGTTTGTAAAGAGTACAAATACTTTGATTGAATCTAAAATTTTCCTCTTATAAATTCATTTTTTCATCTAAAATTTTCTAGCATTGTATAAATTCCTTTCTTTTTTTAAATCTAAAATTTTCTTGCATTGTATAAATTCATTCTTTTTTTAAATCTAAAATTTTCTAGCATTGTATGAATTCATTTTTTTTCACATCCTACATCAATTTGTAAAATTTACACAATGTTTATAAATCCCAGGCGCAGAAGATGATCTCAATAAAGATCGAAACGTTGGCATGATAAAGAAAATGTTTTTCTAAAACCTTCGTCACACCAGACCGCACCTCACCATCTCCAAATATTTATTATTTTTATTTTTTACGTGAATTGCCAATATGATATAACGATCGTACTTTACATTCTTATATAATGTGTGGATAGGGCAGCTTAGGAAAATGCCCTTCAACTGCAATTAATATTACAGAGTAAAATATAACCTTCTCAAAGTGTAAAATATTTCTGTGATTAAATGTGTAAATGTGGTATAAATAAATTTGCTTTTATATATTTAAAATGTTTTTACAATTACATCTATTACAGGAAAGTAAATAATGCAAGAACCTATTTTAAATTTTGTTTTTCTTAAACGGGGAATCCATCTGCTTAGCTATAACAGCCTTTTTTTCAGTCTTTATAGAATCTCTTAAAAAGAGAAAAAAATTATTTATAAAGCAGTTAATTTTGCGTAATTTATTACTAAATTTGTGTTTCCATATTGCAGGACTTTTTCTATTGTATCGCCGGAGGTATTCTCTACATTGTTGCTGGTGCTCTTTCAATACATCACTTTCGCAAGTGGAGGTTCAGCTCTTCAACTACCAACCTCGGTCTCGCAAAGGGAGCTATGGCGATCATACAAGGTTTCGTATTCTTCGCAGATATCTTCTTTGTTTACAGTGGATAAACTTGTCTTCTTCTCAAAAAAGGACAAACGAATCGACCATTTTTTCATTGTAAATAAAACCAAACTCACCAAACTTATATTTTTATAATAGCTGTTAACTATTTATGTCAATCTTAATATATTGTTAAAAATAAATATTTTTGTTTCGATTTAGTGATGTTTTATTTAATTTTATTTTTGGCATAAACATGTCTAATTTTTTTTTAAATTCCATAGCTCAAGTTGGTTCAGTAAAAGTGTCTTCTTCGAAGTAGTAGATGATGCTGAATGTAGTCAAATAGTCCTTTTTTGTTCTTATTTGCCTTTCTACAACAAAAGATTGTCTCAAGGAACTACAAAGGAGAGGAAGGCCTCAGGAGAGCATTCAATGATATGGTATACAGATGGCTCCAAAACAAAGAAGAAAAAAAGAGGTTATACTGGCATAAAAATTCTCATAAGTTCTAAGCAGCTATTAAAAGCATTGGCATGTATAAAAATTACATCAAAATTAGTCAGTGAATCCAAAATATCCAAAACCTGGGTGATACCTTGGGTGCTAGGGCAAGGAATTTTGGGTAACGAAAACGCAGACCCAAACCTACACTTGGAATAACAAAAGCAAATATAGAATCCTCCATCGCAGAATAGAACAAAATAAAACAAAAGAAGTGAATAAACTCTAACGGTGTTAGACACAGTAAAACCCTCAACAAGACTGGCAAGCCCACTCCATGGTGGTCAAACCCATTGATCACTGGCATCTCAGAAAACATCTACACAACATGGGCATATACAACGATGATCCCATCTGCAGATTATGAAATGAGGAGGAGGAAACAGCCTCCCATATCATCTTAGAATGCGAAGCAAGAGCTCAATGGAGATTTAACATAACATACAGAGAAAAACCTAGTGAATGAAATTATAGCAGCGACAGTGAATGACCTGATATTTCTGAGAAGTATGATGGAGTCTATTGTACTAAACTAGAGAACTAGGAAGGTACAATAAGCCAGAAGGCTGCAGGGCCTGGGAGCACAAACCCCGCTTCCTAGTATCCTCATTACCATTACCAATACAATAAAAGAGTGGAAAGGCAACTAAACTCAAAAAAAGACTAAGTACGTGAATATTGAAATGTAAAATTATGGATTTCTTTCTTTTTTTAGATAAAATAAATTTTTAATTCCCACAATGCATATACGTGCATGAATATTGAAGAGTATGTATGTAATTTAACGATATAGGGGAAGAACAACTCATAAATTGATGAGTTATAATTAAAATTAATAGATTATCATGAGATCTGGATATTTTCAGGATTTTCAATTATTATTGAATGCTATGTGCACATGTTTAAACAGATGGTATTATTTTTAAAGTTTATATGTTATTTTCTTTTTCAAAGTTAAAAGTGTTATTTTAACCTAGTCAAATCTATGATAGCATGCGTAAATATGTGAGCTTTTCACTTGTTTATTTTATTTTTAATTTAAGGTTTGTCGAAAAACTGTACTTGAGTCTTCCGACATGGATGTCTTGTTTTTCTTCTTGCTTTCTTTTCACAGAGGAAGTTCTACATATTTTGCAAAGAGTAGCTTGAACTATGGCATGCGGCTATCTACGGTCGGATGGAGTGAAGGCAGAAGAGAGTTCGAGCCGACAAGTGGTCCTCTACCAGAACCTGAGAGAGAGGTTAAAGGAGATCGCTTTGTACTTGAGGGCCGTTCGCGAGTGTCTTCAGGGAATGAAGAACGTCATGGCACAAATGAAGGACCAAGAATAGATTCTGTAAATGACACTCAAGAGGGTCCGTGGGTGAAACGAGCCCTGAGGTTGGCCAGGGGGCTCTACATGCCTCATGTGTCAAGGGTACCAAAATACAAGAGTAAACTTCCTATGAATGATTTCCATGGCATAATGACAAATCCCAACACGAAGCAAACATTTAGGTTTGAATATTATACAATTGAGTTTACTTTATTATTTGAGAAAAGACATGTTCTGTTTGTCATTTCTAGTGGATAAGCTTAGCAAAAATGGGTTAACACCCACAGGTTCAACCTCAAAATTTCAATTGTATTGTTTCAATCAGCACTTTGTAATATTATTATTGTTACAACCCGTAAAATTAAAATTATATTTAAAAGTCTAACTAGAATTTGAAGAAAAATATTTAGTTTCTTCACATACTTTGAAAAATTGAACCCCTTTATAAGGACTTTGAAACTATTTCTAATGATATAAGAGAAAAGGATCCAGAAGTTTTTATCAAATTTGAAAAATACTCAAGTCTGATGAGGGAGGCCCCCATTTGATCTCAAATGATTTGATTAAATGAAATACCAACCCGGCAAAGAAAAAGTACGAGATTATTTGTAATCTATTATATTTCGTGGTCCGATTGACCAAATAAATTCTTTCAATTAATTAAACTTTATGGTAAGGTATTAGTTGAAATGAAAATGTTAGTGTCACGAGCAAGATTCGAACCCAGGACCTTCGGCTCAACACGCCACTGCTCTAACCATTTAATCGTCACGATAGCTCAAGTGGTTAGAGCAGTGGCGTATTGAGCTGAAGGTTGTGGGTTCGAATCCCGCTCGTGACAAACCTTTTTTATTTCAACCAATAACTTACATAAAGAATAATTAATTCAAAGAAATGATTTCTAATGATCATAGCTAAAAAAGATCAACATTTATTTATATGTATGTTACAACATGTAACATCAACAAGTAGATATTTATATTTACATAATCATGTTAATCGTTTTTAGATAATTAAAATAGTTTCAAAGTACTGATGATTAAGGAAATTCTTTGACATTTTGACAAAGGGATTATGTGTTTTTCTTCAAATTTGTCTTATCTCTTTATTCTTATATTCAACTATATGTGTAACATTAAGGCTGATATCATTCACTTAAAAGTAAAATTATATTAAAATTTGTAACTTCTAAAACTTCTTAACAAAACGTAGTATAAAATCATTCTGCATTCTTAAACAAAAGGAATTTAGAAAAATTATAACCTGTTTACCAGCCCATAAACTACCGTTATTACAAAAATTGGTAGAGCTGAGGCAAATACTTCAGAGGAAGCAAAGGATAAAAACGTGCCTCATATGTAATTTCAATAAAATTTAATTTAAAATAAAATGTGCTAACATTCGTAAGGAAGACTGTTAGAGAAGGGTGAGCCTCAATAGGTTTGCTCTAAAAATCCCTTCTTAACAGAAATATCAATTACTTTATTTGATTTTAATTTTGCATGAATGTTTATCAGGATTTGTTTTCTATTTAGTAGCATGCCTAATGATTTTTTAATTTTCTTATTAAAAATTCGGTTATTATTATTATTATTTAAAAAAATGGAATATTGATCGAGTAATAATATTTCCCTTGTTGATGAAAGTTGTTTACTTTCTTATAGATTACGATTAAATTCAAACCATTTTTTTTCAACCTTTTTTTGCAGATATCAAGATATGTGGAATAATCTGTTACAGAGGTTGCTTGAAAAGGGCCAATTGGGTGAGTCGATGTCATGAAAAAAATAACAGGCACAACACACAACTTATTAAAGATATTTAAATTTAACATGAAATTTACTCCTAGTACAAAAAAAAGTACAAAACTGCTAATAAAATTATTTTATACTGACGTGAATAACACTTGTAAGAAATTTTATTTTACGAGGGCATTTCAGCTACAAAGTTATAGATTCGAACCCGGGACTTTTACCTTACAGTGATGAGCGCCGTGTCAACGCCTAAACCGTTTCGGCCACTGACGCCCCGAGATTCTTGTTTATATCGAAGTCGATCATAGAAACCATAGAAAAAAAGAAAGGATTTGTGAATAGATTTAGAAATTTCGGATTATTATAGTTAAAAAATAGCTTGCCCATAAATTAGGTTTTATTTAAAATGCTATTAAAAAAACTAAGCACAAAATAAATGACTACTTTATAGTTTTTATAGTAAATTTTATTATACAAATTTTTCTAAAATAAATATATTACAAAATAAAACTCAATAATAAAATAAATATATATAAAATATATACATAGTCTTAAATCTTAAAGAAATTTTATGTTCCCTTTTGGTATTACGAGTTAAGTAAATTTTGGTTTATGTTAAGATCGGAGACTAGTGAAAAATGATCGGAAGGGTAGAAAAACGAGGGGACACGGTTTATTCCAATCTGTTCGCTTGTTGGAAATTGGAGAACGTCATTGACTTTGAACTTGCCTTTTGAGTAGAATATGTAGTCTAATGTGTGACAGACTTCGCCTTCTTGACGAACCTGAAGCAATTGTTATTTTTAAAGTTCAGGTAAATCTATGTTTGAAATGAACCAAGTACCTTCCAGGTAGTGTACGGGGGTTCGCCTTGGGACGTACAGTAAGCCGAGGCCAGCCTTAAACCAGGGTGAGATGTGATACTCGAATAAACAGGTTCGATAGGCTCAGCATTAAAATCGCCACATAAAATCACTGGCCGGCCATTTGCTTCAGATGATATAAATTCTAAGAGGTCTTTTCCTTGCTCGTTCCTCAGAGCTGCCAAGAGTGCACCGTTCCTTGCCTTAAGATGAGTTGTGGCAACACACAATTCCGTACCACATGAACGATTTCTCAAAATTGCTAAAAGAGCCACCTTAAAAAAACACAAAAACTCTTAGATAACATTTAAAAAGTGTGATGACTAAAAAAGAAATTAAATTAAATTAATAGTTGACAAACAATACTTAAAAAATTACTTGATTGCTTTGCACTTTCCAGACTTCAAGTATTCTTGTAACGGCCTTGATCAGCTCGAATTTGTTAGTTCTAAAGAAAATAGCGCACCCATCTGGCCCATTATTTTCCTTGATGTACATGCAGGGAGAGTCGGGCTTGGGAAAAAACATCCCTTCGTACCCTTGAGTCCCGAGTACCTTTTTCAGATAATTAAAGTGGTCCACTTCCTAAAAAATACGAAACGAATCATTTCAAGCCCAAGTCTTCATAGGAAAAAAAATTTGTTTACTTGCAGACAAATGATGTCTGGGGAAAACCTCACGATCTCCTGTGTAAGCAGATTACGCCTTCTCTGCCAATGAAGGGCTTCCACTGGGCAACAGACAAAGTTGTCGTTGTTAAGCCCCAACGCTAAAACGATAAATATTTTACTTAATTTGTTTGTTTTGTTAGGCAAATCGCTGAATAAAAGCTTACTTTGAGATAAAAGGTTCCATTGGAGCACTCGGACTGAAGATGGATCTTTTAAAGGGGGAACTTCACCTGAAAACAAATTATAATTTAACCTTTTTTATTGTCTTTTATCCTAGTTTGTTGAAGTCGTGAGGAGCGGTCAAGCAGAAGGTAGTTATTTAGCTGCGTTTCGACCTTTATTCGGGTCATCTTCAGGGCATAAAGTGTGATGCTATTCTTGTAGTGCCATTGGTTTTGTGTAAAAGTGTTGTAATATTGACAACACTTTCACACAAAACCAATATGACACCTCAAGAATAGCACCACACTTTATGGCCTGAAGATGAGCCGAACAAAGTTCGAAACGTCGGAAAAATATAAATAAGGTGTTTTTCTAAACTACCTTATTCTTGACCGCTCCTCAGGACTTCAGCAAATTATGAAACAACAGGTCACTAAGAAACACACATTTTTATCGGAAGAAGATATGAACTATACTTTCTCATTTAGTTTAGTGATTTTATCAACCTGTAAAATGTTCTAATGATTGAATGTTTGAAATTTTTGTTAATCCATAATTTATATGTAGCGAAACAAGATGTATTTAATTTTATTGTCATTACAAATTTGATGTATGCCACTTAACTTAATTACATAACATAAACAACGATATGTTTAATGGGGATGCCAGTACTCAAACTAAAAACCCTGTACCATTTTTTTTCCATACATAATATATGAAATGGTGTTTATTAAATCAATGTTGTGCCTTTTGATTTTATCATTGTTTTAACTTGTTTTCACCTATAAAAAAGCATCATGGAAAAGCGTTATATCGAAAACTAGAAATAACATTCTCAACATATTACATATTTATACTGTTGTCAGAATTGAAACAAGCATTTGATTTCAAAAGAACAGTAAAAAAATATTTGGTCACTAATTGATTTTTCAATTGAGGTCAGACTTACTCTTGTAGTTTGCCAGATTGACTATTCCAGCGGATTTAAAAGGCCTTTGGAGAAGGATGCTCCCTCCAATCTGCGATGAGCAATACTTCAGCAGCTCCTCCTTGGACATCTTATCCGGCAGCTGGACATCGTTGTCCTCAGTGTCTTCGTTGAGGATCTTGGGTGCTGACGTAAAGCTCCCCATCCTGCGCAATGAAATCGGTGAAATTATTTCTCTCAAATTTCCCTTCCTGATAAGAGGCATATCAGTATTGTGTATGACCCAGTTTTGTTGCAATTGAAACGCATTAACCTCAACCTATTTTTTTTTATTATTTATTATGGTATCATATGTAATTTTGTTACTTGATAAATGTTCCATACGACATCCCTCATAATTTGTCTGAAATACCTTAACAGTTGTTATAAGAATTTACAAACTTTACAAGGGTTAGAATCCTTGTACATAATAGCATCAAGCTGCCCTGTGTAAATAAATCGGAGGTTTAAAACAAATAGTTTGGAGAATTTTTCTTCATTCCATCCTTAATTTTCTCATCCTAGACAACAAAAATCAAAAATCAATTGATAAAGGCTCAAAGATGGGGAATGTGTTTTTCTTTTAATTTTCAACTTTTTGTTCCCACAACGGCCATGGAAATAGACGAGCAGGGAAAAAGAGCAGACCTACTTACTTATTTTACTTTGACTCTATTATTTCATTTTTCCATTACGTAGGTCTTTTAGGAAGAATGGATGAAAACTGTTTGTTTCAAAACAATTGTGAAAAAGTCCAAACGGCCAAGACCCCAGGAGCTAAACGTTCCCTGGAAGCCCCAGACTTCCCATACCCACAAAACAGCAACAACCGAGCCGACCATCCCCACAAAACCCACCCAATACCACACTGCATGCCCTAGGATATCCCTTTTTATTATTTATTATATATTAAATGTATTAAATAGTAATGTATTAGTCCTTTAACGATAAAAGATACCCACAGTTAAATACTTGTAAACTATTAGGGATCATTATTGATAGTCACTTATCATGGTGCCAGCAGGTGAAGTATAGTGTCAGTAGGTTGTCTTCCCTTTGTTTTCTAACGTTAAAAATTCGAATACTATCTCGCTTGAGATGCGGCGTATTGTCTAATTTGCACTAATATATTAAGAAAAACATTGTAAATTATATATATGTAATTAATTTACATGAACAGAATACTAGAGCAAAAAATAAGTTGTCTTATTCATTCTGTTCAAAGACTAAAATTAGTCCTAGTTTTGCACTTGCTGGAGTCAAGCTATTTAATAAACTTCCTATACATATACCAACATTACCTGCAAGAGTTTAAAAAAAAAGTTTGCAAATGGCTATAGTACCCTTTTTACACTCTGAATGAATTTTTTTAACGCAGAGGTTGAAACAATGTGAAATAATAAAATTTAGATGTAATAAAAATCAAAATATGACATATTCAAACAAAATGTAAATCTAGTTCACGAATAATAATATTCATATTCATATTATAATATCACTATCCGGCAGCGATAAACTAAGTATAGAGGGCTTTATATACACTGACAGGCAAAAAATTCAACCCACTTGTAATATAACTTGATTTGTATATACTTTTATATATTAATCAAAGTTTCACGTTTTTTACCATTTAATAATTGCGCCTTTGCCTAAAAAAGGAAAAGAATATGTAAATTGCTAAGGAAAATGAACAATAAAAAAAGACGGACAGATAAAATTTGTTTTAGATTTTTAATTAACATTTCAATATCGCGTAATTTCGCGTAAGAGGTTAGCCCATTCTTCAGGAAGAGTCTTTTCAAGATTGTGGAGTATCAGGCAGTAATGGAGGGGGTTCTTATTCGTCTGTTTAGGTTACCCTATTAATGTTCGATGGAGTAAAATATGGAGAACGGGCTGTCCAGGCTAACACCCTAATTTTATTATGTTGAAGGTACGTTTGTACCATGCGAGCGATGTGGACGGGCATTATCCTGCATTAGAATAGGATTGTCGTTGATTTTATCGATGATAGGAAACGCAAGATGTTCCACAATTTCATCCACTTAGCGAGTGGCCATTAAAGACCCTCCACAAGCAAAACCAACTCCGGGCGACTGTTCATAATAAATGAATGCGATAATCACTGTAATGCATTAAGACTTTTCTTTTTCATCTGAGGACACTCATACTTGTCCAATTCGCCGTGATTTACATGTGATTTTCTTTTTTTATTTCTAACTTGCCAATTTTATACAGTGATATTTTTCAAGGTTTTAAACGTGTCTGGTTCAAAAACGACTAAGCGAGTTTAAAAAAATCCGAAAAGGGGTTTGGCGGACCGTAAGCAAGCAACAGCTCGAATAAATCATTCGCGGGCTGGGTTCAAGGCTCCAGGTTCGCCTCCCTGCCAACTCCGTTTGTTTTTAAACCTAGGCGAAGGTTAAGGTTAAACGTGTCTTTGTTATTGAAAGTTATCTTCGACCTGTACTTCACTTTCGTTCTACTCGGATTATTTGAAACATTGAAACAAAACGTTCTACGAGGGAAAGAGTAAATTTACAAGATGATGACAATATTTAAGATTTCGTCACAAAACATGAGCCTCCTATTTATATCATATTTCTTTAATCGAATTGAATTTAACCATTTCTATCTTTTAATAAAAAAGAAACAGAAAAGTCTACTTGCGAGCTTGTCTAACAGTTTTGTGACTATCTTGCTCATATTCACGACTGCTGTTAATAAAACATAGATATTCTCAAAATAGATTTAAACGTTTTTTGTTAATCTAATACTTTTTAAAATGTAATTATTACACAAAAGCAACAATAAAAACAACTTTGAAGTACAAGGTGTTGAACAGTCTGATTAAAAAACGACCGCGTCTGTGAAACTCAGGTGTTCATAATTTTAAAAATGTGCAGATTTTTACCTTAAAAAGTTTTTGTTATATATAAAGTTTTTCCGTTAAGACTAAAAACATCTTCAAGTTTTAATCCAAAGGAAAAAATATGGTCATGGAGAAGACACATTTTGGGTCTATATTTCTTCTCGTAGTATTATCGGTGTCACTATTACTTCATATTTTGTTGACAATATCAGGCCCAGGCAACGATTTTGCAAATTACAGCAAAAATCAATCTGAAACAAATTTAAGTATGCTAAGGTATATTTGAAGTCTTATTTTAAGTTCGTTAGATTTTGTGGTCCGATTGACCAAATAACATCTTTCAATTAATTAATCTTTATGTAAGGTATTGGCTAAGATAAAAAAGTCACCTGAAAAATGGCAAAAAGGAGGGAAAATTCGAAAGGTTGGGTTCAGATGGAAAGTTATATATATAACGAAAGGCGTTTTCAGCCGAAGGTCGTGGGTTCGAATCACTGACTTTTTTTATCTCAACCAATACTTTACATAAAGATTAATTAATTGAAAGATCTTATTTTAAGGTATATTTGTGGCTCCTAACTCATCATTTCACCAAGTTGTGTCTAGTCACAGAAAGTTGTAGAAACTCATAGTAAAGCTCACGATGGTCAGTTCAGCTGGGCAGTCTGAAGGGATGTACATAGGTAGAGCCCAGGATGTAATCGACTTCATTAAAATAAGGTTATGTTCAATTCGATCAGACATGACTGATAGACAGTGAGACTGCGATAAGGGTTCCTCCACCACATTTGAAATGGCCACTTTTTCGGAGCGGTCGCAACGGTAGACATCTAACCTAAGATCAGAATCTAGAAAATCGTGATTCAGCCAGGTTTATGTGACATTATGTCGTAGGTGAAGTATATTTAATTCGTGATAACTGTCCCTTGGTACTTAGACCTCCTACATTTTGATAACAACTTATCATATCCTTTTTCTGATTGAGTTTTGCTGAAGAGTATGGATGAACATTTTGGTGGAAGATGTTGAAAGACTTTTAATCCAAAAAAAAAATATTTGTGGTCATGAAGAAAACACATTCTGTCTTCCTTTCTTTGGCTGAATGTTTACGATACATAATTAAAGTTATTTACAGCTATCTTGAAAAACGAACTTTCAGATTTGGTCAAACGATGGTCCATTGTTGCTGGAGTGCCAACAACCTATAAATCTTAATTGTTCAATTGCACTATTTACCTACACTGATGTGTATGTACAGCCTAAATAGTTTTTACTAGGTGAATAATGGAGCTTCTAAGAAAAAAATGAAAATGAAAATCAATCTGAGGTTGTGGCAGTGGGTTCATCTCTACGAGAAATTCCTATGGATGTTACCTCACCTCACGACACNATATATATATATATATATATATATATATATATAAGTTACAGTAAGTTATCTGCAGCAGTTGCATTTATTTTGCAGCCTTGCTACTTATTCGCGTAGGCGTTGTATCTGGCGATAAACTGTTTTTCCCACGGGAAAGCAGTCTATCCTCGACTCCGACGCCGTGCACTTTTCCTCAGTTTATCTTGTATATGGAATAAAAGTGTTTTTTTAAAAAAGTGGTGTCGATCATAAGCAGAGATAACTTACATATAAATATTTACATAATATAATAAATAAATATTTACAAAAATGCTTAATTACAGTGAGAATAGATATTGCACTATTATTGGTATAAGAAATTACAAAAAGAAATATTTCATGGTTCAAAAAATAAAATAAACCTGCATGCACATTAAGAATTTCTTTAGACTTACATGCCTCATGTTTTTTTCAAATTTTCTCAATGTATTGGCAACATATTTATGAAAAGAAAAGAAACATGTAGAGAAAGGTAAAGACCCTTTATTTCATGGAATCTAAATGAATTTATGAAATGTATTTAGTCGGATTCTGGTTTGGCTCCGATATTATTTATGTTTCCTTGAACGACAGAACTAAATAAAGTCTAGACAATTGGTTCTGTTTTATTTCAACCTTGTTTAGTTATTTTTACTTGAAGTCTTAAAAAGTATTTTGAAGGTTTTCGTTCGTCTTTTTTTGACTTATTTCGGTCGTTATACTTCCTTTTTCATTTCAATGAGGACCTTGCTTAAGCAGCACCAATTAAATTTTTTAAACGGCTTCTCTGACGGAAAGGCCTTCGAGCTGATCTACCTATCCTGCAGATAGACTCATCAGAAAAGCCGACCTCTCGCCTACAGGAAATGTGCGGTAGGAGAAGGGCAGAACGCGAATGCCAAAAACAA